AACTAAGGAGTCCCTTAGTGAGTGAGAGACATAAACCTTTGCCCTGGCCTCGCTGGCCTCTCAGAGCACTTCAAAACCATTCCCCCAACATTGCTGGGCTAGCGGTTCCTTTGGCCAGAGCTGAAGCTACTGAGGCCCAAACTTCTCCACACTGCGCAGCTTTTGGCAGCAGCTGTTGAGAAACCAGAGTCAGTCCCCTAATGCTATGGCCCTGTCCAGGGTCGCTGATCCCAGTTAGACTTCCCTGAGTGGGACAACAGCTCAAAGGGGGCCTCCTCCTAGCGGCAGGGGCAGCAGGATAACCTCCACTTGGCACAGTGTTCTGGGTTTCCTAAGCATGTTCCATTTTGTCCTTTGTAAGGCTGAACTTCCTAGAGCCTGTCTGTTTCCCCCAACCTTGGTAAGAGTCCTTCCCCGAGTCTCAGTGAGTCACCCTGGAAGCGCTGTCAGTGAGCCCGCCTCTGCCTTGGTAGTATTCATAAACGCGAGGTCTAACCATCAGGACCATCATGGTGGCTGTGTGTGATAAGAGTTCAGTGTTTTACATTCATACAGGCCCAATTTTAATGACAATTTCCACCCACTCTGCTAACTTTGGGATTATAGGCAAGTTTTTTATAACCTCACCATGCTTCACTTTCCTCATCTGTAAGAAAGAAGAATGAACACCTACTTCATGGGGTTATCTTGAGGGAAAGTGTAAAATGCTTGGCATAGAGTAGTAATTTTTAAAATGGCTCTTCCATTTCCTTCTTTTTGTCAAAACCTGAACTGGCATGGTCCAGAGGCTCCTGAGCCTTTCCTCTGTAGCTTAAGTAGGATGCACGGACGCAAGACCAGGACGGACGCCACCAAGAGAAAATGAAGGGCCCAGGTTCTGGTCGTTGGCGAAGGAGAGAAGCAGCTGGAGACGGGGTGAGAACGGTGGCCTCTGGCTGAGGTGCGGCTCTGGCCGGCTCTGGTGTCCGTCCACCCAGGATTCCTGTCTTCCTTTTGTAGCAATAGGCGTCCAGATACCATGTGAAAGTACGTGAATTCCAACTGCTTCAGAAACAAAACTAAGGCTACAAAGAAACTTTGGAATTATAAAACGTAGCCCTCATAAAAAGAAAGTAAACTTCTTGAAGAAAACCAATTGTGACGGGGAAAAGGGAAAATCAACTCCAAATGGGATCATGTTTTATTCAGGATTTGTGCTGCTGGTGGGGAAGGCCAGACTCAGTGACAGGATGGGAAAGTGGGGCACCCCAACTTCAAGCCTCATCCACTCTGCCACGAAGTACTTCTCGCTTCACCAAGCTCAGCTCCTGGGGGACCTCTAATGGCTCTTGATAGCAAACATAGTTAAAAATTAACAGACTGACAAAATTAAATATGGATGACAAGCAACCACTGTGGACTTAATCTGACACAGGGTGTTACACGCTTGGGTGCCCTTGACCCAAGTGGCGTCTTGAGTGAACTTCTGGGATGTCTGAGCACATTTCACATGCCTGTTTGGAAATAAGAGCCTGGCTTCGGTTTGGACAGACAGGAAAAGAGTCTAAAAGCCCAGGAGAGAAAATTATCCCTGAAGGCTTATGTTTAATTAAGCCCAGCCTTGACTGGTCTTAGCACGAGGTGTTCACAGGCCTAAGACTTTGCTTTTGGGGTCTAGATCTTTCAGACCTCCGCAGCGTCCCACCATCCAGACTGGGAGATCTCGCAGGAGCACAGGGCTGGGCTGGAGCATGGCCTTCTCCAGCCAGGACTGTCTTGCTCTCCTTCCCAGCTGCTGGGCTGGGTCAGCTGGCCGACTTCACCTTTGAACCAATTCACATAAGTCTTGACAATTTGTCTGGATAGTGGCAACTTATTTAATTGCCCTAAATAGGGAATATTAGGTTCCAGACAAGTAGTAAAGAATGCTGATTGCATTTCATGCCCTTTGTATCTGTTAAGAAAGAGTATGGGCTGGTAGTTTTGGGGGGCAAAGGGGGCGGGGGGGCGTCGGGGGTGTGTGAATGTTTCCTTACAATGGGCCTCATTTCTTGAAGCAGAGTGTTCTTCCAGTTTTGGTGAACACTTTATTAGAAATGGGGAGGGTTGCTATTTTAAAAGAATCCTGTAATTAGTCTCACAAAGGTGATCATCTTTTTTGTTTTGCAAATCGTCACTCTAATCTATTTGGTGAGTTTGGCGTTTCCTGGATCAGAGTATGCTCTGGCTTGGCCGCCTCTCCCTCAGCCTGACAGCCTTCCGCAAAGTCCGCTGTAGGACTGGACAGGCTTTATTTGGTGATGCCACTCAAGAGCACGTCCTTAGCCTGGAGTGAGTAAGCCAGAGTTGATTATAATTAAAGAATGTGTGAGTGGCTGGCTGCAGTTGGCTCGATGCTGGGAAAGCTTGAGTGGGGCGGGGCCTTCAGGGCTCCATCTTAGGGATAGTGGTAGAAACCTGCCTAAGAATATCCATGCCTTAAAAAGGAGACAGCTTGGTTCTGAATACGGTGCTGGGGAAATCTACATTCAGGTATAGCAGCTGCATTAGGAAAGGGAAGAAAATCTTCACTGCTTCTTATAGATTAGACATCCAGGGCACCAGCTGTCTGGTGATCTTCCAGCTCTAATTAGTTTTGTTAAGAACCACAAAATTGGGTGCCATATTGGCACACCTCAGCCTCTTAGATCCACCAAACGTCACCACTGGAAGGGACATTCCAGACCAACATTTCTCAATACCCACAACTATTAATAGCTGCTACATAGTAAAAAGATTCCACAGTCAGATAAATGTGGGGAACTCGGGGTTTGATCAAGTCAAACAGTTTTCTTTACTGTGGAACTTCTCAGCCTTTAATGTGTGAGGTATCTGGATCTGCTGAAGGGAGACTGTGTTTCTCCCAAACCTATTTGAGTACAGAGCATCTCCAGGCTTGCCTTCTGGTCACACTTTTTAGAAACCTTATTTAGGAGCAGTGTCTTTCAAACTTGAGCACATGCATTGTTGTCACCCAGGGGACTTGTTAAATGCAGATGCTTGGGCCCCACCCCTAGAGTGTCTGCATTTCTGACACCTTCCCAAGTGATGCTAACAGTCTGGGTACCACTCTGAGAACCACTGGTCTAGATTTATCCCTTTATTCCACAGAGAAGAAAATGGCTACACAAAAGGGTACTTGTTAATAACAGCTACTATACTTGAACCAGGCACCTGGTAGATCCTTCTTGTGATTGTTCTAAAGGCAAGTGTGATTGACAGTGAGGATCACTCAGAAGGGGGTGGTACCGTGCAAAGAATTCCTCCCTGCCTCACACTGCTCCTCGCCAACCTCTGTGGCAGGGCCGGTGTTCCAAGCTGGGGACCAGTCAGGGTCTTCCTGTTCTTGGCACTCTTGTTGGGAATGTGAAGTCTGTATTTTAATCCCTTGGGCCTTGGTTTGCTCATCTATAAATGGAAGAGGAGGGGAATTATTTTTATGGATACTTACTACTTTCGCTAGCATTCCACTTTATTTTTGCTCTGAGTTATTTCTCTTTCTAGGTACTCTCGCACTCCTGCCTAACCTGTCACCAGTCACAGGAGCTGGTACCAGGCTAAGGCGTTAGAGACTTCCATGTAACCTTGCAGGGGCACTGCATTTTAGAAGAGCATTTCTGGAAAGGTGTGATAGTAGAATCCCATGCAGTATGGCCCCTGGACAGTGAACTGTACTAGTAATAACTGCTACTGTTATTAGTTTCTAGTGGAGAAGTGTCCCAGGGTCTGCCATGTTGCTTATTCACTTATATGTCACAATCCGTGTGACGTGCTTAGCAGTGTCTGGCACAGAGGAAGTAATCTTAGTCTGGGTTTAGATACTCCATTAGAGCTTCTCACAGGGACTTTGGAAGCCCCTGGGATTGTATGCAAGACTGTGAGTGTGCAGTTTGAGTTTGTAAGTGTGTGTGAGCACATGCACATTTTTCTGCACAGGGATCTTGCCTTACACGGAAGGTCAACCGCAGAGACGTAACTCCTGCTGAACTGTCTGAGGAACAGGAGTCAGGGAAGTGTGGGCTCCCTGGTGTTTATGGTGCACCTAAAGCAGCCCCCAGACAATGGGCAGGAGTGACCATGAGTGACTTGGGGCCAAAACCAAGCAGAATGAGCAGTCCGAGTGGGTGTAGGGTGGGTATGAGGGTGAAGCCTGTGTTTCTTCCCTGAGAACAGCAGTGATTAGGACAAAACAGCTGGTTCACCTAGGCCAGCTGCCTGAGCCCCGGTTTGGCAGCACAAGCCCTCTGCAGGGAACATTGAGCGGCTCTGGCTCAGTCTTGGGGGGACACTGCCCTCTGCTGGGAGATGGGCACAGCCGCGCTTCACGTAGCTGGAAGAAGAGGCAGCCTTGGGTGTCTGGAGTGTGGTGAGAAGAGCCCACCCTCTTGGCAAGCATGGTAGTGTCACAGGAGTGATGAATCTCGGGGCCTATCTTGACTCCATCACTGCCGCATCCTCCCTGAAAAGCAGCCAGTGGGCCGACTTCAGTCCAGTTCAGCTGAGCACAACTAGCCTGGACCCCAAAGCCCACGTCACCACGGAATGCCCGGGTGTTGTAAACCAGGCTGACCGGAGCACTGTGGACACGGACACACACACACACACACACACACACACACACACACACACACACACACACACACACACACACTGTGGACACGGACACACGCGCGCGCGTGATTGAGAGAGTGCGAGGGCTGTGTGGGTGGAAGAAGTGCGAGCGCGAAAGGGGCTGTCAGAGAGCTGGCGTGGGCATGGGGGAGATGAGGGCTTCCTTCTCGCAGTCACCTGCACTGAACCAAGAGCAATGCCATCCACCCTGCGGCCCCCCGTCAGCCCTCCCCCTTCCTCTGTGAAACGCCATCATGTCTCGCCTTGTGGGGCGCAGTGCCCCAGACCCACACCAGGCAGCCCCAGTCGCCACCACTGCGCTCCCCGACCCTGGTGCACACGGACCCATCGCCCTCCCACTGTGTGTTTAGGTTCCCAGCCCCCCACCTGCCACAGGGCTGTGCCCCCGTCCTACCCTTTACCACCTGTCTCAGGAAGGCAGCTCCAGCTCTGCCCTTTGCTTAGTGAGCAAGTGGATTCAGATGCACAAAGCCATAAGCCGTGGGTAGGTATGCGTTTTTTCTTTGTGTCTCTTTCTCTGTCTTCTCCTCCCTTCTGCCCGCTCCCCCTGTACTCCATCTTCCCCCTCCCTTCTGGTCCTCCTGCCCCCCACGTTCCCCCTCTTTCTCTCCTTTGTCCGGCATATACCCCTAAGTTCCCAAAGTGACATGTTTTTCAGTCTGCCTGCATGTGAAGACTTTCTGGTCTCTCACCTCCTTAATTGCTGTGTGTTGAAAATGCCTCTGGCCCTGCCTTAAATGAGCGTCAGTGCCTGCTGGTGGCATCCAAGGAACACAGCTTTGCCCTCTCACTATACGGGGGGTCCTCCTAGAGCTGGTAATCTGGTTCCTGGTAAACCTGGTGTGGTCTCCCGAGGGTCTGTAATCCACCACTGACCCAAGGGGTTCCCTAAAATGGACCCCTGGTGTAGGCAGAAGCTCACAGTGCATCCATGGTCCTGTTAAGCCCCTATTTCCCGAGTACAACAAGACGCCTCTACCCTGGGTTGGGAGAGTCCTCCCGTGCAGCCTCTCACCCTTCATGGACAGCCAGAGAGGAGATAATCACTCTGGAGGAGGCCCGAGGGTAGAAGGAAACTCCGAGGACTTCTTAGTGGGGACCAGAGCCCAAGGCCTGATGGCCAGCTTTAGAATCAAGTCCGGAGAGCTGGTGAGGCCAAGCCCACTGGGCCTGTGACCATGGGGGATATCATTCGGAACACCCAGGCCTCAGGTGGTTCCCCCACCTATAAATCAGGTAAGATGAGGTCTTATCAATCCCCAGAGCCTCTGGGTGCTGCAGAGCTGCCTCGCAGGCCTTAGCCCCCCTGCAACTGTTTATGCTTTGGAGATATGAATAGGATGCCGTTTGAAGAAGGGTTTCTGCTGCAAAACACAGTTTATAAAACGAGTGAAGTAGATCAGTCAGGGTAAAATCCCTCCCAGCATCACATTCTACTCTAGAAACGTTTTCAGGTGAAACAGGTTGGCCGAGACCCAGGCGGAAAAGCAGTCTTTCTCCTGCAGTACTGGAGGGGGCGCCCAGCCCTCTTCTGTGCAGCGTCCCCACTTTGCTGCAATTTTCTTTCCCTCCCCCATGCCCAGCAGTTCAGGTGATGAGAAGGCTGTTCCTCCTCAATGTAAGCAGAGGAGCAGCAGTAAACAGGCACCTCTTGCCTCTGCCTGAAGGCTTAGGAGCAAAATGGACATTGCCAATAGATAGACATTTGTTAAAGCCAGAGTGTACTTGTCCTGTATTCTCATATTTTCCTTAGTACAGGACCGGGAACAATGCCAAGTGGACAAGGCATCACTCAATCCATTTGTGTTTGGGGCTGGCCTTCCACTTTGGAAACCTAATGGAAGAGATGGGGCTGCAGGTCCCTCTCAGCAGAGTGAGCAGAGGGCACAGGGTACCAGGCACCCCAGTGCCAGGAACCCAGAACCCCTTTTCGAGAAGAATAGGCACAGAGTCTCAAGTCCTGGCCAGACCACTGGCATGGTGTCATTATCTGTCCCTTCCTTATCAGAGCAGGTCCATGTTTCCACATGCTGCTTAGAAATCCGTTAGGCAGCCTGTCCCCCAGCCTAGCCATTGCTGAGTGAGCATGGAAAAGGGGACTCGCTAGGCCAGATTTTAGCCTATCAGTGGCTGTTAATTCTGAAAAGGAGGATGGTTGGGGCCCCTTGAGGGGGGTGCTTTCCTGAGAGCTTGGCCTTTGTATTCACAAAGGGGTGTGGGAGGTTTCTTGGGCCACCACTCTGACACTCTTCAGCCCCTGCAGGGAGAGCTGCCCCCAGGCAAGTGTGAGTGGGCACCTTCTTGGAAGAGCAAAGGGGACAGCAGCCCAGCAGGCCGTTCTGTGGGGAATGAGAAGGTGAGGGGAGCCCTGCTTCACAGCCTTCTCCCCATCTGTCTTTCCAGATGCGCTGGCTCCCTCCTTCCGAGGCTACTTCTCAGGGCTGGAAGTCCCGTCAGTTCTGCTGAATACTGTGTAAGTACTTCCCTGCATGCATGTGCACGTATCACAACTTGGGATCATCTTCATAAAATTTTCCGGGGCTGAGAGACCCAAGAAAGAGGCTGACAAACCCAGCATTATATCAAGTTTATTAAGGGAACTTCCATATGAGGCACATCTTGGGCAGTGGCAAGAGGCGTGGGTGTTCTCTGTGCTGCATGGCAGGCGCTGCAGTTACACAGAACGGGCAGGATGGATGGGGAACTGGTGTGTGACCCGTGCAGATAAGGGGGGAATGCCTTACATGCTTGCCGGGGGCCTGTTCCAGGAACCAGCACTCTGGGGGGCACAGGGGAGGGCTCGCTCAGACAGTCTCGGAGGGGATTTATGGGAAGCACTCTGTTCCTGCCCAGACCAGCTTGTGGGCCGGCAGTGGTCACGGCAGCGGTCACCTCATGGGACAAACAGTCTCCTTCCACAGATAAGTTCTAATCTTGCTAAGAATACCGAATGTTTGCACTCAAGGCAGATAGTGTGCTGTTTCCAATAGGCTTCCTTAAAGTTTCTTATCTTGAAGGAATATCCTAACTTGGCATCTTTGTGCCATTTTATCTTTGGCCTAACCTGCTTCAAAGAACTACCAAATGAATATTTTTCCTATAAATGTAGCAATTCTATAAAATTCCAAATGCCTTCTTTAATTCAGTAGTATCTTGACTGCAGTTTTGTTAAGCACAAGCACTGTTGCATTGAACTCTATTTGGTGTGTGAGTTTGGAGAGTCTGCCCTAAAGTCTTTTAAATGGTAGGGTTCTCCAGTCAACCTTCTTTTGATTTACATCATTCCTTCACAAAATAGGAATGCAGAGAGGTCATGGAGAGTTACATACCTGTATGTACCTAATACTGACACTCGAGTCATGGTCCTTTTCTTCCTGGAGAGCTTCTATTTCTAGATAAAAACACTTCCAAATTAAACTAATGTTCTTCTTCCACCATTAATACTGAGTCCCACGTGCCTTTGTTAGATCACTTGAGGCCACTGAGAATCTTTTGAGGAGGTGCTATGTGGGTAAAACGGGCCTCTGGTTGACGTAGGTTCAACTTAGAGGACTGTTCCAGACCACTCACTGGGAAAATACTGGAGAAATGGTAGATGCTGGCGCTGCCCTTATTCAGGTGAGGAGGAAAGACAGCACTGAATGGGATTTTCAAAGAGTTCTGGGATGTGTTTTCCGCAGGCACGCTGCCCTGTTGACTGAAGTCTCACTTGGTAGGTCATGTCGCCTTCACTTCAAGTTCCTGGGTCACTGCCATGTGTAGCCTTCATTTGCTGAAGTTCTTACTACCATAGGCGGTGAGCACTTCGCGAGAGCTCCAGTCCTAGGTTAGAAAGAAGCTTTGTTCTGAAAGAAGGGCCTCACTAAACAGGAAAGGGATTAGCGATGAGCGTAAGAGCATCAGAAATCCCACAAATTTTTCAGTGTTCAGCCAGTAGACCCTAGTCAGGATTCTTTCTCTGGTGGTGAAAATCCGTAAGTTGGGAGGTAACATTTCTGTTCTTTAAGACACCAACTTCGGTAAGTTAGAATTGTACCTCCTCTTCCCTAAACTGACTTATTTCTCAGTGTGGCCAAAGGACTGGTCCTCAGGGGTCATCACAGATGGAGTACATAAAGGCTCTGTGTCAGTTAAACAGATTTCTTCACCAAAAGATTCTCAGAACCTTTATGAGCATCACAAATCTTTAAGATTAGGAAACTCGACGATGCACTATTTCTCAAACTTATTTGAGACCAGGGAACCCTTTTTCTCACTGAATCTTAGGAAACTAATGTTTTACATAGAGCACACTTTGGGAAACTGCCCTAACCTCTTACCCAAAAGCTAAACTAGTGGCACCCGTATATATATATACATATATATATATTAAATATATATATAGGTCCTTGGACCAGTGGTCATGTTCCACTTTTCACTAATTGATGATGAGAAAATCAGGACAATGTAGTAGATTATTTCCTTAAAGCTACTTGTATTTGTCCCTTATTCTGAAATTATGCCCTTCTCTCTCTCTCTCTCTCTCTGTCTCCCCCCCGTTCAAGTACCCTTTTTAAATGAATGGTAGTGTTAGTGAATGACAATTGTATTTTAAATGTCTTTTCCTAGAAAAATAAAGTCAGCGTCCATGGTAGATACCTAAAGCGTTCTTAAAAATATTTTGCTATTTTGTGAAATCAAAAGTTCACTGTTTAGGGGATGCTTTTCCCCCCTAAAAGTACCACTTTTAAGTTTTGAGGTGTATTGAAGGGTCTGTCAAGTCCAGGATGTCTGTCTGAGTCCATACCCATATCCATGTACCTGTAATGACTTTTTAGACTTATGTATCCTCAAGTCTTTGTTCAGAAAAGCCTTCGTTTTGCCCCAGGGAACCTCCCTGTTGCTGGGTGATGTAGGCCCAGCACTGTCATGTTTACAGCTCCAGGAGGCACCATCCACGTGCACCTGTCTTCGATGACAGTGTGTTTGTCTCTCAGTTTCCAGGGGCTGGTCACTATGACCCTGGAGGTGTCTAGGATAAGAGAACTTGAAATTCTGAAGCTCATGAGTTGAAACGCAGATGTGGCATTCAGCATAAGCTGATGGTTGAGGAAGTAATGGAGCTGGAAGGGAGGATAGTAAGAAAAAACCTAAGGCTCACCTAGATGTCAGGAGTGAGCAGAGGAGCCGCCTATGAGGATGACGAGTGACAGGAGCAGGTGAGGCCTGGAGCCTGGCCAGGGCAGTGTGGAGCTGCTGGGTCAGAGTGTCAAATACTTTGTTTAGGACAGCTGAGAGAATGCCTTCGAACCTGGCAGTTTCGGTTGGCAAAGTGTGGTGGTGGCAGAGGGCCTGCGGAAGGATTGTTTCAGTGTGTACGAGTATGTTATTGGCCAGAGGGAACACAGGATCATTAAGCTGCTGCATGGGCTCCAGCCAAAAAGGTCCTTGTATCAGGCTCACCTGTTTGCCTAAATTGTCCTTCCCCACTGACCCAGCCACCGAAACCTAGAGGTGGCAGTGGCCATCAGGGGAGGGCCACCAGTTGCCCCCTCTGGAAGTATGGCTTGGGAAACGCTGTAGGGTCTGCATAAAGATTTAACGTCTCCGGCGGGTGCACTTTTGTTCTGGGCTAGAGTTATCCTTGGTGTCTGGAGAGACTGGCGAGGACATGGTTAAGAAGGAAGACGGGTGAGTGTACCCATTCCCACGGCGGTGGGGGCTGGCACTCGTCTCCCATCCCACCTGAAGTTAGGCCAGTTCAGTGTGGGTCCATCACTCCGGTGCCTTCGAGGCTCTTGGATCAAGTCCTTTCCAAGAGAGCTAATAATCCAGGCTACGTAATCTTAGGGAAATGTAAATTAGAATTGAAGACAGTGGTGCTCATGAAATCAGAAACATCTGAGAGCAAAGTAAGTACCTCAGAAAGGCCAAATGAAGGGTCGGTGCCAGCCAGAGGCACTTCTTCCACCATCAGAGAGGCTTTCCTCCCCCGTGGAAAGATGGGACCAGGACAGGAGGCAGGAGTGACATCTGGTGTCAAACCTAATGACCTACATGCAGACTGGCTGTCACTTCGGGTGTGTGCAGCATCGGACGCCTGCGCAGCCCAGGGCCTGCTCTTCCCAGAGGCCCTTCAGGGATTTCTAATTTACTCGCTTTGACTCCCTATTTCTAAAAGGAAATCGGTGACTAGGCTAGAAAAGTAAATAAGCGCTTTATTCTTTAAATAAACATATGCAATATGTCTGCTATGTGCTGGATATAAAAATGTGCAAAATCAGGCCTGTTCCCCCAAGGAGCTTAAATTGTAATGGGCACGAGTCATGGACACACATTTCAGCGAGGAGAGAGAGACTGCTCAGGGTGCTGCAAGGTGAGCCTGCGGGGAAAGCTGCGGGGTCGGGTGTGGGTAGCGAGTGCTGACCAGCATGAGGGCAGAAGTGCGACTGTCAGAGGTGTGGGTGTTACTGGTGATTTGATTTGTTCAGTATCTTCCTTGATGGATGGTGTTTAGTCGGGCTACAGGCTATGCCTGCACATCACTGCAGTTTTGCTAATGGTCCAGCCTTGTGGCAGAGAACCCCAGAATACACGATAATGATTGAAAATGATGCACTTCCCAGACATGCTGAGAACAGGGAGGCATGAGCAAGTTTTTAGTCTCTTTTCACAGGGAATGAGTTACACAGCTTTTCTTGTTCAGGATCCAAATGTTGTTAAACCCAAAAGGGAGGGGGAGTTAGGAGTTGGGGTGGATGTGGGAGGGTGTTCTTTAAGAACTCAAGAAATTTCCCCAGCCGAGGACCAAGACCATAGCATAGAAATCGTAAGCTCATGTAGTTACAGCCTCACCAAATTAGAGAAGGATATGGTGAGAGATGGCAAAGCCAGAATTTGCAGTGGTTTATTCCGTCCATTTAGTTTGGGGAGGAATGGCCTAGTCTCTGGCTGGGAGCTTGAGGGCCTTGGGATGGAGCCGTCATCCGGGAGTCCCAGGTGCTGGATGTCCAGGCAGAGCTTGGAGCTTAGCAGGGCAGGAACGGCACTGGGTCTTCTTGCAGCCCCGACAGCTGCTGCGGCTCCTGCACTCGCCCTGCCTTCTCCCTGGAGGAGACGCAGGCACCATGCTCTTGCACTGCAGTGTGCGCTGGTGCCCAGAACCCAGGCCGGTGCTTGTGACTGACCTGCCGTTCCCCTTTCTTCTATTAACCAAGGTCCCCGTCTCACACAGTAATTCATTAGCACAAATATTCAGTGTGTAAGGCACTGTGCTGGGTGCTGAGGACACTACAGTGAACAAAAGCAGACAAAATCCTTGGCTTCACGGGGCTGACGCTCTGTAACTGGGAGGACACGGGTAATATACTAAATAAACATAATGGGTCAGATAGTGAGAAGTGCCAAGGGGAACAGGCAGAGCAAGGTGAGAGGGTAAAAGTTACGGGTTGGCAGGCGAGCAGAGGAGTCAGTGTCAGCTTGACACTCACCATTCAGAGACCCAGAGCTTTCCCAGATTTATACGGGGTTCCTTTTGCAGAGCAGACTTCACTTTATTCGAGTTGAAAGAGTAATTTCACTTCACTTACCCTCTTCTTCTTGCCTTCCCCTTTTGCTAAATCAAAGTAACCGGGCTTGAAGTGCAGCGGGCGTAAGTGAGGTGAGGCTTAGGGAGCAGGCTTCCTGGGCAGCTTGTGCAGCGTGGCTCTGCGTGCTCATCCGCCCTCCCTGGGAGCGTTCTCCTTTTCCCCGCGAGGACCCCTGGGGTCTTGTGTGCTTCTCATGTGAGTTATAAAGTAGGGACCTGAAAATCTGCCCCAGCCCCAGGGCCTGTGGTGGGTGCCCCTACCAGCTACTTCTGAGTCCTCCAGGCTTTGTAAGTAAAAACACAAGCCACGTGTGCTAACACAAGGACTTACTGAGCTCATCTCAAACCAAGACTGTTAGGACAGCCCACGGCAGTCAAAGCTGTGCTTTCCCCACTTTTGCCCATTGTCTACTTTCTGTGAGTCTGGCTGGGAGATCTTTGAGCATATGCACCAGGAGGGTTGCCTGACTGGTCCCTCCCTGGAAGAAGTTCAAAGAGGGCAGCCACTTGTCAGACCAGGACACTGAGTCTCAGAGGGCCTGCGGGAGGGCGCTTGCAGGTCAGGGCCTCTGCCCGGCCCTCCGCTTCCATCTGGGCCACCGACAGGGAATTCAGAAGGCCTGTGTGCACACAGTAGTTAAATGTGAACATATTGGTACTTCCCTCCGGTGTTTTATGCTCTTTGGGGGAGTCGTCTCCCCAGGTGTCTGGAGACTGGCCTGTGCATTCTCTCTGCCCACCAGGAGAGCGGCGTGTAGTCAGGTGTTGCTGACATAATAACTGCCAAGAGCGGCTTGGTGGTAAAACCCTGTACTCCTGGACCCATTGACAGCTAGGGTCCCAGACTCTGAATTCATCAGTCCTGAGTCACACAGAGAGGGATCTTCAGCCTTTTTTAAAGGGCAGGTGTCCCACAGATGCAGCCTTGGTCTGGCAGCCCAGGAGGGCCCCCAGGTCTGCTGCTCCTGCAGCAGCTGCCGCAGCTTTTCTGGGGCAGGGGGAACAGGAAGGGATGCCCTCCCTCCCACCCTCAAGTGCTCCTGGCAGGTTGGCAAAGGGTGGCAGAAGTTGGGTGAGCTAAGTTTTGTTTGCAAAGATGAATATTTTCCTGTCCTGAAATACCCCACTTTTACTAGGAAACTGTAATCACCCTGACTCCTATTTTAAAGTTTTTATAGTGAAATTCTGAGGAAAACATCTTTTTTCTTAATTTTGAGAAGAGAGATGTCCTAGGAAGGCCACCTTTTGTTTCACCCAGAATCCTGGAGGTGGGTTTCAGTTGAATCCCCAAGGGCCATGGGGCCTCCTAGAGGGGCAGCTTCCTGTGCCCCCAAACCAGTGAGACCTTTACGGGGAACTTAGGGTTTGCCGCAGTCCATTGTGCACTCCTGTTCATGAAGCCCTGCGTGCCCAAAACAGCCTCTGTCTGCAGGAAGGAAAGCATTGCTGACTGGACCTGAAAATTTGAGAAATACTAGTGGGGAATGGGGCCACTGGCAGCTGGTGGTACTTCCTTCCTCAAACCAGAAATCCTCGAAAAACGGCTGGCTGAGAGGCAGCCATGCCGTCAGGAAGAACAGTGAAACTTTACTATTTGCTGGGTCTCTGAACCTTCCTATTTCAAAATTCTCAGACCCTAATGAATAGCAGTTAATGTTCACAAATACTTCTCTTTGGTTTTTGTTTTCCGATAGGTGCTTGGAGCAAAGTTTAGCTCAATGGTGCATGTAACACGAGAGGGGAACTGCTTTTATGGCCTTGGGCTGACGGAAGCTGTTACTGGGTCTGAAGCAGGCCCTGCAGTTGGTTACGTTTCAGGCTCTTCTCTTTGGGGGACCTCAGGTCCTGTACTTTTCCTCAACAGGGCTTGGGACAGGCCTGGGGATGCCGCCCACAGAAAAGGTGGCCTCCTGGTGCTGCCCCTGTCTCCTGGTGATTTACACCCTCGAGCTCCCGTGTGAAGCCGTCCCCTGCAGCACACTGTTTTCCAGATGCCCACCCCTCAGGCCTCCCTGGGAGCCACACTTCCAGTTGCGGTCCTTTCCTCCCTGGCCGGGGAGCCTCCTCTCACTTGCTCCACCGTCCCAAGCTGGCTGTCCCCAGCTCAGCAGCAGAGGCTGTTGGGCCCTTTGCCTTTGACTCTCTCAGCTCTTTGCCTTCCAAACAGCCTGGTCCTAAAGCCCAGGGAACTCCCGCAGCAGGCCAGTCCGGGGGTGGAGATGACGGCACTCTGTTGAGGGGTTTAATGGGTGATCTCTTTCTCCATCCCAGGTTCCAGGTGTGTGATGGTGGCTGCAATCTGTCTTGTGGGTATTAATGCAATCTTCACTGGTGGCTGTTTTCGAGCTGTCCCACAAAACTGGAGCATGCTGGTGAGTGCCACAGTCAGAGGCTGAGTACGCCTCCGGAGGAGCAGCGTGCCCTGGGGCAGGGAGTGGCCGTGTGGACCAGTGTGGTCGGGACCGTCAGCCAGCATCACCCGGGGATGCCAGGCCGCAGTGGGTGGGGCTCAGCAGGCTGCCTGTCCAGCAGCACACGCATTCGGTGTGCTGGGTTTCTGCAGCCTGCCGCTCCTGTGATCCCGATGAGAGCTCCAGCTTGGGACGTGCTGGTGTGGAGAGCTCGGGGCCAGGGATTGACCCTTCATTATCTCCTCCAACCATGGCCTGCTTGGGGAGGGTCGTCCCAGGAAAGGAAATGCGAGTTTGGCAAACTCTCAAAGTGCGTCACCCCAGTACTTGGTCCTCACCACAGCCTTCCTGTCAGACTGACACTTAGGTAAGGCCGTCAGCACCTGCTCACCAGCAGCGGCATCAGATGAGATATTCCACCTAAGGGAATGCACAGATACATGAAGCTTTCCTTTTACGCTCTTAAGCCTTTTTGAGAAATAACCATTTTGGCATATTTCTCCTGTCTTACTCATACAAGTATACTGAATATAATGTAGCCCTTTCTCGAAGACTCAGGGACATTTTTGTAAGCCTCATCGTAAGGGTGAGGTGATTGCCCTTGGGTGTAACTGACAAACAGGGTTCTCGCTGAATTCCTCCAGACTGCTGGGCTTTTCTAGTGAGTGATGATTTTGGTGACTTGTCCATCTTTTTAGTCAATACCAGCTGTCACTTCTCAGTTCATCTGTTTCTAGCAATCAGTGGTCTTAAAACAACGTAGCATCCCAGAGGTGACCCGCCTGCCAGGCCCCTCACAGGGGTTTCCGGTCTCTGGAAAGCTTGGCCTAGAACAGCAGGAAGGCCATGGGCAGCCTGACAGCGGTTATGTCTTGGCCCAAATAAGGTGGCAAATTTCATCTCTAGGAGGGGCCTCTAAAGAAGAGTCAGAAAAGGGCAAGTTCCTGCTAAGGGCAGAGAACCAGGCAGTTCTGGCCAAGGAAGTCATTACCACATTTTGGGGCTTACGTAATTTCTTGTTGAGAATAGTACCATTCTGTGCCTGTCGCGAAGCACACGCATTCGGTGTGCTGGGTTTCTGCAGCCCCTCTCTGCCTGGAAAGGAAGCCAGCACCTGCACTCACGGTCTTTTTCCCACTGACACCTGTTTCTCACACTAACCGAACTTGTCAACAGGTAAACATTTTTCCACATCACACAGGGCAGTTGTTATTTATCCTACTAATCCTAAAGCTACCTAATTAGGGTTTCCTTTTGTCAGAGTTTTTAATAACAATGCCCATGATATTCTAACGAGGTGAGAACATTAGAATGATTTTTTAAGTTCAGTAAACAGACCCAAACATCAGTAATTCAGGGCACGAGCAGATGAGCCCAGTCAGGAAGCAGTAGCAGCTGGGGCGTGGGTGACTTCACGCAGACAACAGGAGGGCCTGGTGACGAGGGGCAGAAAAGAAGCGGGGAAGGAGAACTGGGGCAGCCAGCAGGCACCAGGTGGGGAGGAGGTTGTCTTCGGTATAAGCCATGTTCAAGGCGGAGCTCACCAGTTCCTGGGCCATTAGTGGCTTACAAGAATGAGTTTGGAGGACAGAGCTAGGCCTGGGCTGTGAGGAGGGAGGATCTCTGCTAAGGGTGGGAGCTGGAGCCCACGTGGGGCACTGGCGTGGGCAGCCATGCTAGCTAGTTACTGTGGCAGGGCTGTGTGAACAGGGAGGGGCTTCTAACTACAGGAGATAGTTCCCATGGAGACTAGAGCAGCGGTTCTCAACCTTCCTAATGCTGCGACCCCTTAATACAGTGCCTCATGTTGTGGTGACCCCCAACCATAAAATTATTTTCGTTGCTACTCTATAACTGTAATTTTGCTACTGTTATGAATTGTAAATATTTTTTTGTTCTCCCATGGTCTTAGGCGACCCCTGTGAAAGGGTCGTTCGACCCCCAAAGGGGTCGCAACCCACAGGTTGAGAACCACTGCTCTATAGACTCTGAACCTTTTAAAATATTAACTAGTCTTTTTATTACAAATTAATATCAGCATTTGATTTTTTAAAAATCAAGCTGACAGGTATAAAGTGAAAATGAAACCACTCTGATTTAAAACCTTTGTCATATGAAGTCTGAGGTGGGTAGAGGGGAATATTCCTTAATCTTTAGTAAAAATGAATAAATGTTAGAGAAACTCTTGGTCAAGTACAGAAGTATGGTCCCTGACTTATGATGGTTTGACTTTATGATGATGGTGTGATACGCATTCAGTAGAAACCTTGCATCAAATTTTAAATGCTGATCTCTTCCCAGGCTAGTGACATGAGGTACGATACTCTGATGCCGGGTGGCAGCAGGCAGCCACAGCTCCCAGTCAGCCCTCAGTCGGGCAGACAACCGGTACTCTACAGTGTACTGTGTTACCAGTGGTTTTGGGATGTTGTGTTTTTGTGTAAATTACATGAGATAGTCAACACTTTATAGTTCTTTTATTTGTCAAATGAGTTAACATACAATATTATATTAGTTTCAGGTGTACAGTAGTGATTAGATATTTATATAACTTACAAAATGATCACTGATTAGTACCCATCCGATACGATGCAGTTATTACAATATTGACTATATATTCCCTACACTGTACTTTATATCCCTGTAACTATTTTGTAACTGCCAATTTGTATTTCTTAATCCCCTCCCGCTTTTCACCTATCTCCTCCAGCCCCATCTAGCAACCCCCAAAATGTTTTCTGCATCTATGAGTTTGTTTGGTTTGTTCATTTGTTTTTTAGATTCCATATATGTGAGATCATATGGTATTTGCCTTTCTTTGACTTATTTCACTTAGCATAATACCCTCTAGATCCATCCATGTTGCAAATGGTAAGATTTTTTTTTTATGGCTTAGTAATATTCTATTGTATGTACTCGTATGTACCTCATCTTCATCTATTTATCGATCGATACACTTAGCCTGCTTCCTCCATATCTTGGCTGTTGTAAATAGTGCTACAGTGAACATAGGGGTACATATATCATTTTGAATTAGTGTTTTGGATTTCTTCAGATAAATGCCCAGAAGTGTCTTGCTGGGTCATATAGTCATTCTATTTTTAAGTTTTTGAGGAACTTCCATAGTGGGTGGCTACACTTGTGATTTATTGATGATAGCCATTCTGACTGGTGTGAGGTGGTACCTCATTTTGGTTTTAATTTGCATCTCTCTGATGATTAGTGACATTGAGCATCTTTTCATATGTCTGCTGGCCGTCTGTATGTCCTCTTTAGAGAAATGTCTATTCAGGTCCTCTGCCCATTTTTTAATCAGATTGTTTGGTGTTAAGTCTTACGAGTTCCTTATATATTTTGGATATTTCAATAACTCCTTAATCAGCTGTATTATTGACAAATATTTCTTCCATTTAGTAGATTGTCTTTTCGTTTCATTGATGGTTTCCTTTTTTGTGCAGAAACTTTTTAGTTTGATGTAATCCCACTTGTTTGTTTTGTTTCCCTTGCCCAAGGAGACATATCCAAAAAGATAATGGTTAAGAGCAATGTCAGAGCTTACTGCCTATGTTTTCTTTTAGTTTTATGGTTTCAGGTCTTACATTTAAGTCTTTAATCCACTTTAGTATAAAATAGCTTTGTGTTCGATGATTTTGCCCAACTGTAGGTTGATGATGTAAGTGTTCTGAACATGTTAAAGGTAAGCTAGGCTAAGCTATGATATTTGGTATTAAATGCATTTTTGGCTTACTGATATTTTCAGCTTACAATGGGTTTGTGGGGATGTAACCCCATAGTAACTTGAGGAATACCTGTTTATGACGATGTGTTGGGGTTGGAGGGTAGAGGATTTTTCTTATTGCTGGAACGCTAGACAGGGGAAAGCAGCCACTCCCAGGTCGGCACTGCCCCACCCCCACAGGCGTCAGCATGCACCTTGACCCCACACCCAGCTGCCTCCAAGTACTGAGGGCCACATACTGACCTTTTTGATCAAGGACAGCTAAATGAAATGGTTTCGAATTGTATAATGTTCTCTAAGATATCTGGAGACATTCTCCATTCTTAAAAGTCAGACATTTATGACTTATCTCAGACAAGATTTTAGACATATATTTTCTTCCCTTGTTTATCCCATCACACTCATATTATAGTTGACAAACACCCCCCCACACCCCCCACCCCCGTTTCAGGAAAGGTTCTCTGAGGAGAATCTGCTCTCTAAACAGAACCTGGCACTCTGCCCCCATGGTGCTCTGTGTTCTCAGATGTCTTTGCATTCTGTTTAAAATGTCCTTGTTAATACATTCCAAGGTTTGAACTCCATTCCTAGCTAAACCCCTTCCTTGTTTACAGGGACTGAAATAGCCACATTTTGACCTTCTGTTCAGTCTGGGAACATCTATGGCAATGTGAACGCATTCTTTTCCCATGTGAGAATTACATTTACACTGCACAGTTATGGAAAAGCTCAGGAAACCATCCACTCCCATCCCCCTCCTTTTCCTTTCTCCCTTCCATATTTTTCAGTTCAAAAGATCAGCCTTTCTAATCAGCCAGAATTAACTAGGACACCCCCCACTTCTCTTCCTGCTCAGAGGTCCAGGAAGAAAGGGGGCAGAGAACTAAGAGGTCAGGAGAGCTCGCGGCACCGTCCCATGACCCCATATCAGCTTGTGGTTAAAGACCCCAAAGCTGCCCGTAGAGGTGCTCCAGGCACCACTGGGCTGGCATCGGAACCCACCCTGAACCCTGGGCACAGTCTCCTGGCTCTCAGCCCACGGCATTATCAAGACTAGGGAACCAAGTTTCAGTGCCACATCCATTAACGGCCCATTGTTCCTGTTTCATTTGGCCTACGAAGTCCCTAAATTTTTGCTATATGCAAGTGACTGTGTCGGGGTAGAGGATGGAGGAAACAGTCTTAGGAACAAAACTAGTGTGAGATAATCCCTGTAAAAGCCAAGTAAGGGGCCCGGCCAGTGAGAGCTCCTGGAGGAGTTCACTGGAGAAAGCCCTGCAGGCTGAATGGCTCAGCAAAGGCTGAGAAAGTGGGGCGCTGCTGAGTGTGGACAGAGAGGAGGGTTTGTATGTGCTGAGGGGGACTGGAACAGGAGGGAGGAAGTGAAAACATGACCAAGCCTTTAAGGGCCTTGAGGGATGTGTTAGGGATTTGGGTCTCCGGGAGGCACTGTCGAGACCTGACAAGGAGGCGGGGGTGTTAGGAGTCATGGTCATCTTGGTACCCAGAGCAAAATGGATGAAGAGTCAAGTTTGAAGCACACACCAGGAGAGGCAAAGCCATGGTGGTGGTGTCAGGAATAGAATGATCTGAGGAGAGCAGGGCTGAGTGCGGGACAAAGACACCCGGGCAGCGGGGGCAGGAGCTGTGCTAAGGCGAGGTGTGGTAAGTCTGAGCTTCGACAGAGCCTTTGATGTCATGGCAGAAATGTCCAGGAACTGGTTGTGGAACCAGAAAGAGGCCAAGCCTAGCAACGTGCATTTGCCCAAAGATGGCTGTGAGCTCTCCTGAGAAGAAAGCAGGCGGCCAGCGAGGCCCTTACAGACACAGCCAAGAGCTGGAGGGGATGGCAGGGACCCATGGGCAGCAGGTCACCCGTGGCCAGTGCCTCTTTTCCCGCCGCTCATTCAGCCCCTTCTCTGTCCCTGAAAGCGGTGCGGCAGCTTTGTTCCAGGCCGTTGGTGTCAATGCCGTCACCACATCCAGTTTCCGCTGCTTTTCCAAGATGGCGCTCTCCAAGTCTGTGTTCTGTCAGAGGTTGCTGGGGGTGCGCAGGCCCCTTAGGTTCCCAGAGTCCAAGCGCTGCCAAGTGCCATTCCCTGTGGATTGTTCCAAAGTACGGACAGCTGTGGTGTGGCTGCTGTTCCTCAGAAATGGTTTCCTGGAGTCAACATACACAGCTTGGGCTGCTGGCACATGGTCAAGTTTGGGATGACGTGCAATGTGTCATTCCATGCCTGACAAGCCGAGAATGTGGGGGAAGGAAACGGGCCTTGCATCCACTTCCTCTAAGCTGGTTTCCCTCATCTGATGCGTGGTGACTGGGGACGTCGCCCCATATCACTTGAGGGGAGGGTGCTTTGGTGGTTAAAGAGCAGCAGAGCAGGCATTTGTGGGGATGTGAGATGGGCCAGAAGGTCGTGGGTTCATTGGGAAAGTCAGCTAGTAGTACAGCCCCAAAGATAATACCTAGCCTCATAAGCCCCCTACAACCCTGGATCCCTACCCCATGGACCGACGCCCCAAGGCTGGGCACTCTCACTTCTGCTACATGAGATGCACACCTAGTGCCCCACCGCCTGCCAGAGAGAATTCAGGGTGTAGTAGAAGAAACATAGCTTTCCAGCCAGGTCCTTCTGCTGGCCCTGCTCACTAAGCAGCACAGGATGTGTGACCTACACCAAAGATGGGGTGTGAACAGGCCTGGCCCACATCCAGCATCTGGTGAGTGGGGTTGATCCCTCTCTTGTGCTGGGCATCAGGGGAGGCAAAGGAGTCAAAGTGAGTTTTTCTGAAGGCGTTTACTTCCTCCTGCTGGCCACGCCCTGTTGCAGAGTTCTACTGAGAAAGTAAAAGGAACAGATGGGAGGTGAGGTGGGGGGGGGGTCACTGAAGTTCTGTGTGGGTGTGCCAGGCCTCAGAGCCTGAGTTGGAAGCATTTCTAAAACCAAAGGGCTCTCTAATTTGGCCTCTCTATAACAAGCATAATTAACTTGATGTGCTAGGACTAACAGTTACAGCAAGCTGAAAAGACAAGTAAATGTTATTCTAACATTATAGATATCTAACATTAGATAAAGTTCTTACATGTCCAGATCCGTTAGATAAAGTTCTTACATGTCCAGATCCGTTCTCTTGAAAGCTACACCTGATGTCTTCCTGTGGATTTTTCCATGATCCATAGGTATGTGGTAATTATATTGGGTCTTCTGACTTGTAGCCCATCATTATTTCCACCCATTTGTACTGTCATCTACAAATGAAACTGTGAGAAGAGTTACTGGATCATAGTTCAGATTCAGGTGCAGCTGGCATTGTACAGATCTGGTTTGAACAGGAGTATTTACTAAAATTGTGCAATTAGCTATATTTGAGTGTTCATTTAAATATGTTTCTAATTTCAGGTTATACTGCTAAATACACATTTTCCCAAATAAGTCTAACTTAGGACAATTATATGGATTCTCAATCATGATGCTATTTTCTTCAGAGCATCCTCCCACTCACAAGCATTTCCCTGTACAAAACTCTAGTATATGCGGACATATTTCTGTATATACCTTTTCTACATCCATAAATTTATGAGACTGACATGTTGATAAGATGATGGTAAGAAAACAAGGGACCTGGGAGTTGAGATAAAAGTAAAATGACAGAATAACAGTAGAGGTTTGACAATGCAGCCTTTCACATAATTAAAGTAAAACCAGACACAAAGGAGCCAAGATGTATTTAAGAAACTTGTGGGACTCTGACATCAGCAGTCAGAAAGACTTCAGTGATTATTCGAAGGCCCTTTTTTCTGCCACAAAGCAAAACAAACATGAGTATCTCCTTGCAACTGTAGGGGAAGGAGGTCTTATGCTCCCTATGTATCTAAGGTGAGAACATTGATACTCGTATGGTCTTTATTTGGTGAGTCAGTAAATACACTCCATGGTGACATACACTTGCACTTTGGTAAGGAATCACCCATGAATTTCCCCATCAACAGGTGTTTCCTAACAGCCCCGCAGCTAGGAGGGAGTGTACACGCTTGTGAGAGCTGCTTTCCTTACACACTTCTTTCTGTTTCAGGCTTGAAAAAACCTTGCCCAGTTTTGACCCCTTCAAGACTTTGCCACAGCCTCCATCACACATCTGTTTTTCTCAAAGAAAAAAATATAATAAATATGTTTTACTCTTTTACACTGTATAATTGTAAGAAATAGTGTTTTTTTGTGAACGCATGGTCTGACATTTCTGTACAGTTTGGATATATTTTCAAACAAAACATAAAAGATGTCAACAATAAAACCAAGAGCGTGAGTATTTTTATACCATTTAAATACGACAGGATGGATAATCTTACACTGGGTTGGATAACAATTTTTGTGCTTGACTTTTGAATGCCTGTAATTAAAAATATCTATTTTTTTTCCTCTAAAATAAGCTGCATGTTTGAGGCATGTTTTTAAATATTAAAATTTCCATAATTGTATTGTGAATAGAGAAATCTGTGCCTGGCCTGAGTCCAGGGTAAATTAGAAGCGTGATGTTAGAAACAGAACTGTGCTGTCTGCAGTGCTAGGTGCACACTCGCGGCTCTGGTAAGACGTCCCTGCAAGACAATCAAAAGCCTCCAGGAGCTTCTCCCGTGGCGGCACAGTCACAGCTGGGCAAAGAAGCCTTTCCTTGGTACAGATTCCTGCTCAGAGTGAGCCCTTAGAAAGCCCTGGCAGCCCAAGAGGTGGCTGCACAAACTGACGCACAGATGCCTCATGCCCACAGCAGTGTCTCACAGAGAAGGCAAAACCTCGGCTTGGGAGGCTAGGCTGCCTCAGGATGGAGCCGGCGGTGCCCAACCTGCGTGGCTGCAGCGGGCAGCTCCCAGCTCCCAAGTGATTCCTGAGTCTGGGCAGCAACAAGCCAAACGAGCCATTGAAAACTTTATCTTGAACCCCGTGTGCTCACGGGGACACTACCTACCACACCAGCCCAGAGAGGGGGTGCAGCCAGTGGGTGTTTGGAATGAAACTGTGTAGCTCGCTTCAAGACTCCTCAAAACCAGAATGTCAGTCTTGTATCATAAGCTGACACATTTCCACAGTCTGACAGCTGAGTCTCTGCCCCTGTTGTAGAAGAGCCGGGTGTGTAAAAATACACTGATCTAAGAATTTTCAAGTGCTGATATAGCTAAAAATGATCACAATCTTTCTTACTGATCTGCTTACATTGCGCTGAAGACTTCCTTGTTTTAATGATTATATGGTTGTTTTTGGGGTTTTTTTGGTTTCATTATTTTCCATTAGAAATAAAGATGTCAAGCTTTTAAAGGTCATCACAACAAAACGACAGAGAGCCAGGGCAGCGGGGCTGCCACCCGCACATACATGAGGCCAAGGGCTCGGCAGCGTGGGGCCAGCTGTGTTCAAGCCCGCTTACGCCTTCAGCGCCGCCTGGCTCACAGTGAGACTTCTGTACTCCTGTTTCTAAGGAAAACAGCAACTTCCACACAGTCTATTATGCTTTTATAAACTGTTTAAAGGTACTTTTCTATTGTTCTTTTTAAAAATAAAGTGCTTATCCCAGCTGTCACTCCACTGCTTGGCAAATTCCTTTTTTACAAGATGAACCAAATGCATACATGCCACACTGCAGATGAGGGACAGCAGATTTCTTTCCCATTTCCTGGCCTCAAGCTAAGGACAGGGACTAAAGGAGGAGGCAGAGCTGGGAGAGCCAGAGAATAATGTCTACAAATGCTCTACTGTGGGCACTCGGTGAATGACATGGACGCGTTAGGCCACGGGCCCTTTCTGGAGCCTTCCTGACCTGGCAGGAAGATCTCAGGGCTGGTTCGCATACCTTTTGTGATGCCTTGTACTGCACTCAGTTGACCCCACACCCACCTCAGCCTACAAAGCTTTAGTTCCAGGTTATCTGAAATCTCAAAATAGTCATTTGTGGTTTCCTGCTAACTTAGAAAATATATATTTAATTGATAGCCAAGATGATAAAAGTGTTTATATACACTCTCACCAACCCCACTTCCCCCAAAAAGGAGGAGGGATGGAGGAGAGGGCAGGGGGAAGCACAGTGCTCAATTCCAGTAATGGAAACAACCACTAGTAACTATTAGTCTTGTTCGGCACTGACATTGTTGGTCCTGTGGTTTGGATCTCACATCCCTTTTGCAGAGGAGACCATCACCAAAAGCAGGTCCCCATCATAGCCCTCCAACACTCTGGAGCCCAGGTATAACCGCAGAAAACCACCGGTGCTGTCCACATCCTTGGCCAGACAGCCCAGGAACTGAGGGCATCTCCCTCTGAAGGCATCTCCCTTCTGCCTGCCTTGGGCCACCCCCATCCCAGTCACTGCCTGAACACAGTCTCTTCCATATGCTTTTTCACAAGGGGCCTTGGGATGGAGGAATGAGTGCCCTAATCACCATGCCAACAGTCAGTCATTAGTGATGTGCAACTGACAAGTCTGGATGGCATTTAAGAACTCCGGAAAGGGCCAGCCGAGCGGCACGTTGGTTAAGAGCTGCCTTGGGACGCCACCTCTGAGCAGCAGGGCCCCGGTTCGGATCCCACATGACGGCCAGTGACACTGCCCTCTACAGCTAAGATGGTGAACAACAGCTCGGCCTGGAGCTGGGCTGCCGTGAGTCACCAGTGACGGCGTAGGCTGTAGCCCTTGCTGCAGTGGGCTGCCATAAGCTACCGTGTGTGGCTGGCAGCCAGAGTGAGCGGCTGTCCACAGGCCGGCGACCGATCTGCCTCACCTGGGAAGATCGCAATGATAATACCCACATAGGCCAGTGAAGCAACGTCCTCCACAACTAGAATGAAGAACAAAAGGACAGCAACTTGTCTGTTCCCCTTCCCCCGATTTCCCAGCGCTGTTCCCCTCCCCCAATTCCCCAATAAAAAAATCTTTTAAAAAAACCCCAAAAAAACTCCAGATATATTCCCACTGACCACTCAGTTGGACACCAGCTTCATTACAGTCTGAAAAACTGCCTTGGTCACCCTACTGAGCAGGAATGAAGTGTCTTGGAGTTGAGATGAGAAAAGGCAAGTCTGTTCTCTTGCATAATGTCCCAGTTTATAGGTTCCAGAAAGATGGTAACTAAGCCATCTTTTTGTTTCATTACCAAGTAAACCCTCCATTGGGAGGGGAAGATGTGCCACTTGTGAACACAAGACTAATGTAGCTATAAAACTGCCATCTAAAATTAAATACTATGCCTTCCACCTCTAACAAAATGACAAATTAAAGGAACTTGGGAAAGTACCTTAAAACTTGCAAAATGAAAAGTTATTATTCCAGTTAATCATATGTAGGCTTCAAATTCACTGGACCCAGTGTTTGCATATACATTGGACCTACTTTTATGGGACCAACTTACAACTCTTAATGCCCTCATCTCTGAGGTTCCCCAAACCCCAGCACTCCATAGCATTTTGGGTCCTGAGCTGTGTGGCATAAGAAATATTCTTGAGAATGAAGGGGGCCTGGCTAACATCCCTGAATTCTGTATCACAACACACAAGTACTCTTGGTGTCTGTGTCAGGGTGACACAGAAGAGGAATCAACTAGTTCTTCCTGAGTGCTTTGAGCAAGGCATGCCAAGTGCTAGGAATATGCACATTTCCTACTGCATGCCACTGTCACTGGGACATCCAGGTGAAAAGAGCATTCTTACCAGGTTTTAAGAGTATCAGTGCATGACTGCTCTTACTCTTCAACTCAGTCTATTCTGTCACACCCTCTCATGACATCAAACAATTTTACAACATTCTTAGAACGCAGAAGAATATTTGTTATTAGTGAGATATTATCTGAAATACTGGTCCTCAAAACTAAGAACTGGTGATACTGAAACCCTTATGCAATCAGCTAATTAAGGCACCCAAATTGGGAAAATATACAGACTCCCACAATAAAGCTCCTATGTGCCACTGCTGCAGAATGCCTTAAGATGGTACTATAAAATAGTATTAACTCTTTACTAAACTGACCTGGCTCTGTAACTATCCCAAGTTCCCAAAGATGTCAATATGCCATAAAAATTCTTCCTTGTCTTATCCCCTTTTCACAGCTCACTAGTGACACCCATGGGTTCTATTTCAACAGTGCCTCCAGAGTACCAACCACACTGCTTCCTGCTTTATGAGGGAGACGGGAAAAGGCCCTGTGGGTATCACATACTATACCCACAAACAAACCATACACCTACAAACCATAACATACTATACCCATAAATAAAGACAATGTGCACACGCATTTCACACTTAAAATTCAAGTGACACCCTGACCATGCTAATTTAACACTAAATTAGAAAATTAGGCCAGATGCTTAAATTCAACCCAAACTTGTCTTCTGAGCACAAAGCACAAAAGGAATGCAATGAGGCTCAAGTTAAAATATTTGCCTGGACAAAAGAACACTTTTCCTCTAAAACTAGAATGCAGGTCTTGGGTGTGAAAGGCTCAGTAAGAAAGTTCAAATTCTTACAACAGCAAGTGTGAGATAAACCTGCTCTTGGGTTTTCTGGATCAGGCCCTGCCAAGTTCAGGCTATAGTTTACTCAGTTCTCTCCTGTTAGTACCCTTCTGTTTTCAGTTATTTAAAATATTTTAAAGGTAAGTTTGCATTGAATGTCCTTTGACGTACAACCCCTACAAAATTCTGGGTGGTTGAAATTCCCTGGGTTCTCACAGGGTCTTGAAACCACATGGCTTGAGTCACAGGAATGTGCTGGTGGACCTCAAAACCAGGGGGGCTGGCCCAGTTCTATGGGCCAAGCTGTCCAAAGGGGCCTATGGACAGCAGCCTTACCACTCTGGTGGAGGGCACCAGCCACATTTATTTCTGATGGAAATCCTTTTATGAAGGAAAACGTACATTGGTTTTTTTAGTTATGGGCAGAAGGTAACTCAAAAACACAATGCCGAAGCCTAGTCTAGCTCTGTTTCCAAAGTGCTCACTCCACACATCACACACACATGTGCACGCGTGACAGGAATGGGGCAGGTGTTCCAAGGTCCAGTTTGGCTGAGAAGTGGTTGCCTAGAGGTCCTTGGACTTCCCCACACCTCTACCTCCCACAGAGCATCTACTGGTTTCTCAGAACAAGCCCACAAAATACACCCTGGGAAAAGATGGACCGTCCTACATGAAGCCCTGAGGATAGCAACACATTAATGACAGGTCACCACTGCTATCTCCATGCACAGTACTACAGCCTGGCTACAGGGCAACAGTGCTAGTCCTGGCTTGTTAAGAGCACTCAATAAAACCTTAGAAAACCCCAAACCTTTCCCACAAATATATCATTTGCAAGTAAAAACAGTGGTTAGAAGGAAGAAGGGACACTGAGTCTCCTATGCCTCAGAAAATTGTCAGCTAATAAGAAGGGGGGAATTTATAAATCCAAATGGCCTACTGCCACATTCAGAACATTTTTTCTACTAGTGATTTCAAACAGCTCAGAGAAGTAATCAAGGGCTGTACCTTGGCAATGCCCTCCCTATGAACACTGAACGGCAACAGTGGGTCAGCCCTGCACTGCCTTGTCACTAACACTCTGCTCCACACGTATCAAGTGCTCCTTGTCCCCCGAGACCCATCATCTGGCCACGCTTATAGGATGTGACGGCAGCAGCCAAAGTTCACTTTTTACACTTGGTCTAGGCTCGGCTACAGTTCTCTTAGCTATCCCCTTTTAAAGGCCTCCAATGACTGTGATGAATTATAGATCAAAATGCAGTACAGACTAACCTCTTAACGCATCCAGCCATGCCCATTCCCACTTCTAAATGGCCAGCAGATCTAGGAGAAAGGGGCAGAGGCAAGAACATGACTGCAACTTGAACGCAAATTTCTGGTGGCTGTGTCTTTAAACATCCAGAAGAACTGGTAAAAGATTCTTCTTTCTTTTTATTACAATCTTCAAACATAACTGGGCTATCACAATTTCCCACAAAGACTATACCCCTCCCCACATGTCACCAGATGACCTAATCCCAGTACCTTAACATGGGGTATAGGGAGGAATTTCTCTCCCATGTAGTAGGCAAAGGCGATCAAGGCTTCACACAAGAAAATCCAAGTAAATGAGGTAGAGCTACAGAATTTCCAAGTGTGAAAATTTAGCAAAACATTTCATTTCTCTAAATCTCCATTTCCTCATTTCTGAAATGAGTTGAGACAAGTTAACAGAAACCTATAAGGCCAGTTCACGAAGTACTGATGAGCACAGGCTTAGCTGGGAACCACTAGTGATACACAACTGGCAGGGAAGCATCTGGTCTTAGAACCTGTGACAGATGCAAAGCAAGATGAGGTGTTTGAGATGTCCAAAATGCTTTCCCAGACCCAATCAACAAAACAGCTGGGGACAGGTGATATCCTCATGATGACAACATAGGGTATTCCTGATTTTGTTCCCTTCACAAGAACAACTGACAACCAACTATTCATGGATGAGGCCACCACTGAGCAGTCTAGAACACAAGGGTGAGGGTGAAGCACCCCCTGCACCAGAGACCAAGACAGACCCAGGAGGGTGGGAGGAGCAGCTACGCGCTGACAATGCAGGCCAGCGCAGCACCACGCCAAGAAGTCTCCCCTGAGCCTACAGTTCCTCTAGTGGGAAAAGAGCCCAAGAGGATGTCCAGCTGCCCTGACGTTGTGCGTCACTTTTTAGGAGCCCCCTCTGGTCTCACCCCACATGGATTTGCAGGGAAATTGACCATCAGGAATCTGACTGTGGCAGAGAAGGGGAGATGGGCTTGCAACAGCACCGAACTGTTGGCAGACTGTGTTCCTACCTGCAGCACCCACGGACTCAGGCACCGCATAACAATGTTTCAGTTAGCGATGAACCGCATGTAGACAGTGGTCCCATAAAATTATACAGAAGCTGAAAAATTCCTATCACCTAGTGACATCCTATCCATCACAAACATCACGTGTTTGTGGTGATGCTGGTGTAAACAAACCTAATGTGCTGCCAGTCGTATGAAAGTATAGCACATACCATTATAGTAGTAGGCTATACCATCTGGGTTTGTGTAAGTGCAGTTGTTTTTATACAACAACGAACTGCCTAATGACGTTTCTCAGAAAGTATCCCCCTCATTAAGCAGCTCATGACTGTAACAATCCCCACCAACAGCCTTGTTCATCTACAGAACCAAGTAGGTGGCATGGTCCAAGCAGGGAATTCAACAGGGTACAGGTCTAAGAGACCTGCCTCAAGCTACGAGATCTGCCAGCCCTGGAGCCTGATCTGCCCTTGCCTAGACAGGGGGACTAAGTCATAGCCCCAACCACTGCTCAGTGACGCTCCCAGCCACATCTGACCTGAAAATTTGACCAGAACACCTGGAAAGCTGCATGGCCCACAATGCTCAAGCAGAGTCTGGCAGGCAAAGCTATTAAATCTGCAAAGAAAATCCAATGTCCCTGTTCAGCCAGAGAACTTGGGATGCAGGTTGGCTTGAGTCAAGAAAATAAAGACCCTTACTGGCCTTGGAACTGGTTCTTCCACCGTACAGGGCAAGGAAACTAATGTAAAGTATCGCCCATTTAAGACATTTTATGTCTTAAGACTCATGGTAATCATAAGGGAAAAACCTGTAGTAATTCCACAAAAAAACATGATAAAGAAGTTAAAGCATACTGATACCAAAAGATATCAAGACACAAAAAGACTGCAGGATATAAAACAAGGAACACAAGATCTACAAAACAGCCAGAAAAAAACTAAAACAACAGTAAGTCCTCACTTATCAATAATTACCTTAGGTGTAAATACATTCAATTCTCCAATCAAAATACAAAGAATGCCTGAATGGATAATAAAACAAGATCCAAATGACTACAAGAGACTCATTCAAGCCTTAACAACACACAGACTGAGAGTGAAGAAATGTAAACAGATACTTCAAGCAAATGGCATCCAAAGAAAACGGGTAGTTATATCAGACAAAATAAACTTTACTAAAAATGGTAAAAAGAGACAAAGAAGGTCACTATATAATGATAGACGGGACAATCCATCAAGAAGATATGACAATTGTAAATATTTATGCATCCAACTTTGGAGCACCCAAATATATAAAGAAAAAACTAACAGAGCTAAAAGGAGAAATATGCAGCAATACAATAATAGCTGGGGACTTTAATACCCCATGCTCAACAATGGCTAGATCATCCAGACAGAATCAATAAGGAAACAGATTTCAATATCACTATAGACAAATTTCCCTAACAGATATATAGAGAACATTCTATCTGGTAACAGCAAATACATATTCTTCTCAAGCATGCATGGAACATTTTCTAGGATAAAATTATATAGGATGTATGTTAGGCCACAAAACAAGTCTTAGCGAATTCAAGAAGACTGAAATCATGCCCAGTATCTTTTGTGACTACACTGGTATGAAACTAGAAATCAATACCAAGGGGAAAATGGGAAAACTCATAAATATGTGGAAATTAAACAACACTCTCCCGAACAACCAATTTAATTTCTTCAAAGTATCTTGAGACAAATGAAAATGGAAATACAATATAACAACAATTTATGGATGCAGCGAAGAGTTCTAAGAAGAAAAGTTCATAGAAATAAAAACCTACATTAAGAAACAAGGTCTCAAATAAACAACCTAACTCTACACATTAAGGAACCAGAAAAAGAACAAACAGTCCAAAATTAGCAGAAAGAAAGAAAGAATAGAATTAGAGAAGCATATCATAGTACAGATAAGGAAAATGAAGACTTTGCCACAGGAGGCTGCAACGACCACAGAGATTTCCCTAATGTCATCACGCCTCTTAACAACCCATGTGTTTGACAATGGTTCTCGTTAGCTCTGCCAGTGATGGGGAGATAAAAGGAACCTCCAACAGAAGAGCCACGTGAAGGTTGGGATGTAAAGCTGATATTCAGGTTAGCAAGAAGACTCTATCCATCCTTGATGGCATGAGACCATGACTTGCAAAATCCAGGACGCTAAATACTGAGGTACTGTTTTAAAAGAAAACATTAAAAATCATATATAGTGATTTTTGCTTCACTTTATTGCTTCAGTTGCTAACAAGAGGCAACACTTTGTGTTCCAACTGTGAAATCCATATGCTCAGCAACACAGCACACAGGTCACAGTCTCCAACAGTGTCTCAAACACACACCCTGTGGGAATTAAAGACCAGAGCTGCCAACTGCGATTGCCAAGAACAAAAAGACACAAACTGAATTCACTAACACCTTAGAGTTCCTTTGACAATGATTTTATTATAAATATGTTCTTTGGAATAAACAAGTATTACATTCAAGACTATCTGCAAACTTGTTCTAAAGTAATAAAAGAGGAAACATGGAACCAGGAACCACTTAGAAGTAGCGATAAATAGCAAAGACACCTGCATGCCATGCTAAGTGCCTTTCCCCCCAGAACTAACAGCAGGTTAACAGGGACATCACATTTCTCATTAGCCTATTCAATGAAAATAAGCTTTGAGTTTGGTAATTTGCACTTGTTCTGTAAACTGCGCTGCTCCTCTCTCAGTCCCAAGAAGCAGGGTGGGAAGACAGTCAGTCTTCAGGTGCCAGTATCAGTAAGGAGGGCCCTGCGTTGGCCTGGGGCTCTGTGCTCACCTACGGCAGTGCTCACTGTTTGCCGGGGACAACGTCAGAGTAGTCCTTCAGCACACCAGCCATGTGTTCATTGTGAGTCTTAAACCGGCGCTTTTTCTGCGAAGCAGGCTTTTTCCTTCTCTGAATAGGGGCCTATAGGGAAAGGTAAAAACAGAAACAGTAGCTACTCAGAGGGATGATACAGTAGGATTTACTAAGGATGCCCAGAAACCAGCAGCAAAGAGAGATGGGGCGTTTGGCCTGCTTTTCTGCTTTGTCGCCCAGCCTCACCCACACCCGTCCACAGCATACTCCCAGCCGCAGGAGGCCCGGTGCTTTCTGCTATGACGTGCATGCCTCATCTGGAATAAATGGGCTGGCACAACAACTGACCAGAACCATTCTAGGCACTTAGGGGATAAAGAGAGGCAGTAACACTCTTTGATTTTCATCACTATTATCTGGTTTAAAAATATATCCATCGTTACCAATTAAAAAAGATTTGATGTAAGCAGCAAAACAGAGATATGGCAAAATTGGGAAGTGGATGGGCACACGAAGATTTGTTATTATCATTCTCTATTCTTTTCAGTATACCTGAAATATTAATACCACATGATGAAACCAACAAGCTAAACAATGATAAGAAACCATAAAGTGCCGCAATTACCCTAATTCATGGAGATCACTGGCAATAAATCTTCCGTTTTAAGGAGTCCTAAAAATTCATTGTGCATGCACACACGCACCCCAAAAGTCACAAAGGCAGCAAGCTACACAGCCTGATGGTGGACAAGGCAAAGGGGGAGAGAGGTGTGGCAGCTACAATCTATAGTGTTGGTGAATTATTCCTCATTTGGACTTTGTCCTGGGACTAACATAGTTGATTAGCTGATACAAGACAATTCACAAGTCCTCATTCCATTACAAATCCCTCACCTGAGCAGGATTTGGGACTACAAAGACAAAATATCTGGTGCCTAAGGGATCTGAAAGTCAACAAGGACAATTCAATGTGATCAGGGCAAAGGAAGAGCCAGGCACCAAGACCGCTGGGCTCACTGGAGCAAAGGGGAGGAGGGCACGACTAAAGCCTTAGAGGCCAGATGAGGAAGTAGGCTCCTGGTTACAGGCTGGGAGGCCAGTATGTGGGCACCAGGAAAAGTCTGGTATGGCTGGAGCTTAAGAGTAGACACTGCTAGGGCAGGGGTGGAGGGGTGATGGGGGAAACTCCACATGCCTGGGGACCAGCACTTGAGGGCCCTCAATCACCCACACATGATCTAGTTTGCAACTGACCAAGATCCATGGATTAGGACACAGAAGAAACTGAAGTGAGAACTGACTACCTGCTCTTCAGAGAGCAGAACAGGAGGCGGGCTAACAGCTCAAAGAACAGAGGCTTACATTTTTTTCTAGCGATTACATACCACTTTCTTTGGTCCGGATTCCTGCATGGAAGAAATACCCTGTCGCTTCAGATATTCTTCAATTTTCTCCTCATCCATTGAATCCACAGTGACACTCCTCCACAGTTTCTGAAACTCTGTGCCAGCAAGATAGTAGTTATTTTACAAATGATGTTCACAAACTATAGCATCTCAGTGATCGAAATCCAGGCTTCAATATTATCTCCTCTGGTCTACATTAGCACATCTGAGGTTTCATTATAAAAACAAAGGAAGTAAGACAACATTCAAATGCTGGACACTGAGTAGCACAAGGGCCTGGGAACATAAACTGCATAATTACACGGCAGATCAGTAGTGTTCTATTTCTAGTCCAGTCAATAAAGGGCCACATGCTTAAGGCCTCCCTGCTTTCCTGGGGAAGAAAGGTAGCCAACACTCTTTTATTCCAAAAATCAGTTCTCTCCACTGAAACAGTTCAAATTCCTGCTTCTCTCCCCTGAGGTCAGTATACTCCATTTCTTCTCCTAACAGTAAAAAGAAACACACAGGGAAATTGGCAACCCAAGTTTTATACTGGAGTGAGGAGCTATAACAGTTTACAGTTGACCCTTGAACAACAGGTGTTTGAACTGCACAGGTCCATTTACATGTGGATTTCCTGCCCTCCCCCCGCCCCCAATAAATACATTGGGAAAATTTGAGGGAGATTTGTGACAATTTGAGTAAACTCGCAGATGAACCTTATGATTTTAATAACATTTTCTTTTCTCTAGCTTACTTTATTGTAAGAATACTTTACATGTAACATACAAAATATGTGTTAATTGACTGCTTATGTTATCAGTAAGACTTTCAGTCAACAATAAGCTATTAGTAGTTAAGTTTTTGGGGAGTCAAAAGTTACACTCGGCTTTTCAACTGTGTGGGGTATTGGTGCTCCTAGTTCCCACGTTGTTCTAGCTTCAAATAAATTATCCCAGTTCACATGTAGTGTAAAGATGTCATAATAATATACTTCCTCCTGACCTTTGAGTTATCGTTGTAATAAGTTTTACTATTACATATGCTCTAAACACAACATACATTTCTTTTAGCTTCAGTCAGCTATCTTACAGAGCAATTAAAAATAAGAAAGTTTTTAATTAAAAAATTAACATTTTAAAATTAGAAAAACATGAATTTTACACTTACCTTCCTTTATTCCATTTACAGCACACTCTCTTATTTGTACACATCCAAGTTACTGTCTAGTATCACATTCCCTCTGCCTGAAGAACTTCCTTAGTATTTCTGTTAATGCACGTCTGATGACAATGCATTCTCTCAGTTTCTGGGATGCTCAGAGTATTGCTCTGAAAGAGTAACTCTCCTTCATTTCTGGAAGACTATTTTTGCTGGGTACAGAATTTTGAGTTGAGAAGTTTTTCCCTTTTGTCCCTTTAAAGCTGTCACTGCACTGTCTTTTGGTTTGCACATGTCCACATGAGACGTCTACTATAATTTTTTTTCCTTTATAATGACCTTTTCCCTCTGATTACCATCCCTATTTTCATCTTCATTTGTTAGCAGTGTGAATATAATATAACTAGGTGTTTTTCTGTCATTTGTTTGTTTTTTGGGATCATCTTGCCTTGTGATCTTTGTGCTTCTGGGATCTTTGTTTTGTTGTCTGTCATTAATTTTGGTAAATTCTTGGCCATTATTTCTTCTGTTCCATTCTCTTCCTCTTCTCCTGAGATTTTAATTACACATTCAGACCATCTGAAATTATCTCAAAGCTAAAAGATGCTCTGTTATATTTTTTCATGTTTTTTTTCTTTGCATTTCAGTTCAGATAATTTGTATTGGCCTATCTTCAAGTTTTCTTTCCTTGGTTATGCCAAGTTCATTGATGAGTTTATTGAAGACATTCTTTGTCTCTGTTATGGTGCTTTTCATTTCTAGAATTTCCATTTGTTTTTTTTTTTATAATGTTTATCTCTCTGCTGAAATATCCTACCTGATCAAGCATGCTGCCTGCCTTTTCTACTAGAGGGCTTACGTATTAATCAGTTATTTTAACTTACATGTCTGATAGTTCCAATATCTATCTCCTAAGAATTTAGCTTTATTAATTCCCTTGTCTCAAAAGTGCATTGCTTTTCCTTGTTTCTTTTTTATGCCTCATAACTTTTTTCATCTTAACTTTTTTGAAAGCAGGATATCCTCTGTAGGACAGCTCAGACTGAGGTAAATAGTTTTCGTGCCTGGATATGAGCACGTCTTTCCTTCTGCTAGGCCGTTAGTGTGAGGAGGTGGGGTCATTCCAGAGTCAGGACATGAGCTTGATTTGGAATTTGTTGCTTCTATGGTTACCCACAATGCACCACAGACTTCAAATTTCTCTAGCCATACCTGTGCTTAGGGAAGGGCTCATTTGCCAGAGGGTTTTTCTCAATGTCTGCTCAACCCGTGATTTTAGGTCTTCCCTTTAAGCTATACCTAGGATGGTCTGTCAGCCTCCATGCTCTTGGATCTCTCGGCATTCCACTGTTACCTGATAATCCACATCTGTTAGCCTGGTATGGAGTGTGAGTTTTCTGATATTCTGATTAAACCTCTGTATTAGGCAAGCACTGTGTTCCTTGGTGTCTGGGGGATGGCCTCAGGGTTCCTGCTCTGCCCCTTTGCTAACGTTCTGGACCCAGCACATATTCCTGCCCCTTTCTTGGCAGTAGAGGGCTTTCTTTCTGTTACCTTCCCACAGCAGTTTAAGACGTCTGTCTTATAGGAGAGAGGTAGGGAGAAGGATTTTTAGACAGAGCTTCAGGTATTTCCTGAAGCATCTACTAACTGTTCCCCTCCTCCAGACCTGCCCAAGAGGACAGTACCCCCCCCCCAGCCTAGTTTGTAAGCATCCAGTGACGTCTGTGGAGATGGGTGCAAATTCCCATGTGTCTGCAGCCCCCAGGGGTTCTATATTCTCTTGCCAGTCCACACTAAGCCTTTAGCAGTTCATTGAAAAATTCAACTGAATTCTTCTGAGAGGTGTCCATTTTGTCAGTCCCAGGTAAACAAGAGCTTCCATTTCATCTTTTCTTAGAGGTAGCTCCCCGTCCTTAGATTTCGAGACAGGTGGTAGCCCTACAACCTCAGCTCTTTGATAGATACAAGAAAACTATAAATTTGCAGCTGTCTAGGGTTTATTGTTGTTGTTATTGTTGTAAGGGCGGGAACAATGCTTTCTCCAGCTTTTCCATTCTAAGTGAAAGCTAGAAGTTGCCAAGTACCTACTTTTTAGCCAGACTTTAAGAACAATGTGATTAATGTGACTAGCTCTGTTCACTGTGAGTATATATGAGAGAATCAGCTTCAGGTAAAACTTTCAAGTCAGCAATAAAAACATTTTTCTAACTCCAAGAAAGTACACAAAATTGTTTTAAAATGTATACCATAACCAGAATTTCACATATCAAATTTACCATAGTTATTGAAGGAAGCATGTCACACACAAAAGAATAGTTCTGGAATTTTAATTATGACTTGTTACATTCTATCCACATGTAAAAATTGTATTAGAATATGAGTATTACATGATATAACTATACCAATTGAGCTGTATGATTCTCTCTGTACAACAAAAAAGGCAAAGTGCATATGATAAAAGCACTTTTTACCCTATGGTAAATTTTATTCAATACGCTTTTTACCAAGCCTCTGGTACCAGCACTGCAAAATTCAGTTCCTTGAAAACTGAAACTACTTTCACTTTCTACTTGATATGTAATAGTTTATATACTTCAGGCCTCTTATGACACAATCACAAAGGCAATAATACCTACTAGAATAGTGACAGCAATGATCTGGCATATACAACACTATAAATTTTCATGGCACAATGGAATTGCAAGTATATTAAAAACAAAATTTCATTCCTTTTGCTAAAAGAAATGTCACTGGAACTATTTTCAAAAGAAAAATCCCTGAATAAGAACTCTTCATTGTCTTTGTTTTTTCAATAAAACATTTCTACTTCAATCCCTCCTTTCCTTAGCTCAATACTGTTACAGTGTTTAAAAATTACATCTACTATGTAAATGTACTACAGCTGCAAAAATACTTACAATGAACACTAGAAGGCAGGGCCTACGACAGGATCTCACAGGATCCCAAATCTAATTACTTTTTAATGTATGTAGGGAAAGAAATTTCTCAGTTGACAGAGGTAGTACTAAGAGAAATAACCTGGTTTTCTTTAATTTAATAAAATCATTGCAAGAAAATACAAATTAACATCAAAATAATCTTTATTTTCTATGAGACTGGCAAAGTCAACTAAAAACATGAAGGTAAAGAAATGGATACCTTCTCATATACTGCTGTGAAGGATTAAATTGGTCCAAAGAATTGGCTCAAACTTACAATGGGTAATAGGCAATCTGTTGAAAACTTAAGATACGCCTTATGTTTTGACCCAGCAATTCTACTTAAAGAAAACTATAATGAGATAATCGGGCAAGTGGGCATATATTTATGTGCAAGAACTGAGCACTACTTATAATAACATATAGAAAATATAAGATTAAAAAAAAAAGGGAGGGAGGGGGGCTGTCACTTTGAGGGGTAAAAAGTATAACTATTGCACTGTGTTGTACAGCTGAAATTAATTCTAAAAAATGTGTATTTCATAAAAAAAAATAAGAAAAAAAGAAAAAAAAACTAAATTTCTATCTGTGGAACACCAGAAAAAAAAATTTTAAGTACATCCATAAAATGGAATACCATATAGCCATTAAAAAAAATAATGGCCTAAACAGGCATCAGAGCCCCAGAGATGTAGCTGCTGAGAGGAGTCCTGAATTCTAAGGATAAAGCTGAAATTGTTTAGCCTTCCAGGCAGAAAAGAATAAGTTATAAGCAGTGGGAAAAAAGTCAGATGTCATCTAATTTATCACCAGGAACACCAACAAACATTATGTAACTGCGAAAGATCAGTGCAAATGTGGCCAGACTGCTAAACTGGCCGTTTCTTTGCTATCTGTCTAACCAAGCACAAAACTACAGATCCACTGAGTCAAAAACCAGATAGCTAAATAAATGTAAATAAGTAACCAGATAAGTAAGATTAAAACACCTAGTATTTTAGTACTATTTT